GTTTTTATCAATTCATTAATACAGTTGTCAATTTAAGATAAATTTGCCGTTGATCGTGCTAATTTGTACGTGCCAAAAAATTAGAAGCGTTTTCGAACACCGCGCTGTTTTAAATGACACATACATTACATTCGCTGTATTTAATCTCTAATAACTTGTTTTTATCGAGCATTTTAATACATTCTATTTTTTTATGCAATTAAAACAATTTTGCTATTTATTATTTAATTTTCATATACCTCAATTTATATAATATTTGAATGTGCGTCGTGCGTCGTGCGTTTAATATAATTTAATACTACAATATATTCCAAATCAAAGGATACAGACAATCAAAGGATCCTTTTACGCGCACGCAAAATAAAAAATAAAGTTCGCACGAGTTTAACTCTGCATTAAACAAACAAACAGCTAATTCCATCTCCGACATTTTACGTCCATTATTTGCCTTTGAGAGAAGTAATATTTGCAAGTATAAACGTTCATTATTGGCCTTGAATCGCGCGCGAGGGGCGAAAAGAGCACAGCAGAAGCTCTCTCAGAGTAAATAATTCGCTTTTTCACGCAAATCGAGTGGCTCGTTAGACGGGAGTGACCTTTTACCGACGATGAAGAGCCAGCCAGGCTTTATATACACTTTATTCGATACAGGCGGCGACAAACATCACGAGGAGGGCGCCGGCGCGAAACGCGAAGAAGATCACCATGACACGCACGGTCACAAGGGCGACAAGGTATGACTCTCTGCTGCCGAGCTTATCGACGTTCGCGCTGTTGTCAATGACATCTTCGTCAAAAACGACTTCTTTCCTCTCTTTTATTACCCGCAATATAAGCCCACGATGTTCCTCTTCTCTCTGCCCTCTACGCCACCCTTGCAGAATATCTATTATATGGTTGTTTTCGTTCCCCAAAACGAGACACAGACCTTGTCGCAAAGAGGTGATCCGCGCGTGACTACAAAGCCTTTCATCTCTTTGTGTCACGGTATTTTACCCTTTTCATGTCTTGACACCGCTGTTTCTGTGAATCCCTCTCTTTGTGCTCGCGAAAGATAAAAACGAGCTAGACTCGTTTCTCATTTCGAGGATCTCGCTCCTTTGTTGAATTAGTTCTAATAATATCGCGATTTAGCTAGCCTTTTAGTGAGGGTTTTAATCTTAAGGTCGACAACATTTCGGAAGATATATCTTCGCTTTTTATTGTATCCCGTTATTGTTACATCAAGCTTCTTTTACGGTCCATAACACGCGATTCTATGTAGGAAATGCTTTATAACGTTTTATTAAGCTACACCTTGATCAAAAAAGGGTTATAAAGCATTCCATGAGTACGACAAGAGCGACAAAGGTCACCACGATAAAGGAAACACGAGGGCGAATATGATGAGGAAGAGGGTGAGGAAAAGAAGGATCACGAAGAAGGCGGTCATTACGGCGAGGAGCATCATGGTGAGGAGGGCAAGAAGGACGCGAAATTCGGCGAGGAAGGAAAACACGAAAAGGGACACAGTACGAAAGGAGAGCACAGCGTCTTTAAGAAGGTACGAATCTTGATACGAGTTCATTAATTGAATTAATTTGTAATATAATACGTTGAAATAAAATGAACTAAATAATATGATAATAATAAATAAGATAATTAAGACTCATACAATTAAGATTCAATCTTAATTTATAATTTATTGAGTCAACGCAGATAACATTTAATTTACTGGATATAATAAGCCAGATTAATAAATTAAATTATTAAATAATATAAAATTTTATTTAGAAATCTTACTTGGAAAGAGAAAGAGAGAAAGAGAGAGAGAGCTGCATCTAATACTTAACACTTTAGTTTATATTGCATAAAAATTAATTGTCAGTTTCTGTTCTTGTTATATTATTAATTTTTTTATCGTGACTTTGTAATTAAATTGAGCTTTTATGATATTAAGATGCTTCATTAGAAATGCAAATTTTATTTAGATACGCGATAATTTGTAGAATGAAAAAATGATATCGAATGACAAATATTTTAATTAACTGAATAAAAATGTAGCAATTATTTTAATTTAATTTGTAAAAAATTAGATATATCTTATGTTTTTTAAAAAAGTATGCGAACTTATTGTTTCAAGGATGAATACGAGAAGAAGCACGATTTTTATGACGAGTATCACGAAGACGGAGGAAGCGAAAAGCACGGCGGCTGGCACGAAGAGCACGAGGGCAAAAAGGGTGGCCACGAAAAGAAAGGTCATTTGCACGCGGCACATCATGAGGTCAGTAACAAAACTATCTTCTTTCAATAATTTCACTTTCATCACAAAGTTCATATTTTTCCCGTATTAATTCGACTTTGTTTGAAAATCACGCTTATACGATATCGCTCTTTCTTATCTCAGGGTCATCACGGCGCGGAGAAGAAGCACGAGGGAGGTCATCATAATCACGGGAAGAAAGGTCACAAATCGGCCGAGGGGCATGACAGTCATCACAAGCACGACGAGAGACACGGCCATAAAGGCGGTCACGCCTCGGGGCACAAGTGGTCGAAATCAAATCATCGTTGATGAGACGAGACGAGATTTACTTTCACATAACCGTCAGACGCATTTTGCTTACATTTACGTTGCCGAGAATTTTGTGGACAGATCAAGGCTGCAAGTTTGGAGTGATATCGAACGGCGTGTGTCAGGTGCGCTTAGCACGCCGAGAAGAATTACGATGACAATAACAATTTTATTCTTGCCGCCGAGTAAGTGGCATGCGAACTTGCTGCAAAGTTTTTATCAAAGTTAAATAGATTTCATGTAACGCACATATACGTCTTAGTCAAATATTTTTGATCGATGAACATTACGATAAGTAAATAAAAGCAATATAAGCGGTGTGTTGTGGAGCCGCCCTTATTACATTTCTAAGTGTATAAAATGTACAATATGTAAATGACAGTATCTTGAGCAAATATAATTGCTTATTTAAATCGAGAGAGTGTGCAGTTTCTCAAAGCCTGCGTCACGCTGTCGCTTATTTTATCGCGGCGACGCCGATCGCCTGGGAAAAGTGAAAATCTTGGCGTAAAATTCAGTCGTGCTTCGATGCACGCTGTATTGTGCGGGCGAACGAAACTCGTACACTTTGTTGCAGATGTATGGCATCGAGGCGACCTTGCGAGTCATCGTTTTCTCTCAACAACAGAAGCTAGAATTTTTATTTTGCTTTGGCGTGCTTTCACAATTCGCGTATTATTTTAATTAAAAGCTGAAAATATATTATATTTGATTACTGTTATATTTTTTGTTGTGTAAATTAATAATGATGTTTATTATTCTACATTGTAATTCTATATTGTAAATTCTATATTGTAAATAGGTTGCCGAATGCATTCTCAAAGGAAGCCTTTCAATTATAATTTCATGAGTAAACAACTCAGTCAGATCGTATTTTGCACGAAAGCTTCAATTTCCTAATTAAAGCAGATGGATATTCAAATGAGAGTAATTAACGCGAGAATTATTAACAAGTTAATTATGTAATTACAAGTTAATTAAGAAGAGTGATTAGCTATCGATTTTATTAACTATCGCAAAATCTAATAATTTGACATGTTCAGCGCTTTATAAAATGCAAATTGATAATAGCTTTATATAAAATTCTTTATAATGAGGATATATGTATTAAGTTAAAATAAAATGTAGTGGTTTTATAAAATAATTATATAATTATTAGCTATGTAACATTTCTGTATAGCGGGAATTCGCATTATTACGTATGAAATAATTTTCATCGTACGTATTCCGTCCTGATCCTTCAGCTTGAATCCGCGGCTTCGCGTAAGCTAGTGTTTTCGTAATTAATGTGTGAGCGATATTGACACAGTCATTCAGAACGTGCGGTATGTAATCCCGCTACAACGTGAGTATATTGCCAAGGGAATTGATCAAAACGCGATTGTACGCGATGGCCCTATTTTCTGGTGAATTTACCCGACGATCAAACTTACTCTCCGGCAATCGATTGCATATTGTGTACGCAGTCGATCTGCTGGTATCACATGCAGTGATTGGTTGGGCGCTTATCCTTAACGCTTACGCAAATTTGCCTAGACGCGGCGGCGCAATTGTTCTGTAAGTTGATTCCGCGATTATGCAACAAATAACGAAGTAGCGTTTGCAGAAATTAATTGGTTAGAGTTATTCTTTCTTACCCTTAATTATTGCAAATTTACATTGCTCCTAAAAAATTAATTACTGTGTTTTAGACTGCAAAGTTAATGCGTATTATTATACAACGCTTGCAGCTAAGAGTTCAAAATAAAGTACACGTCTCAACAAAGGAGAAAAAAGAAACATGAAATTGTACGAAACATGGTTAAAAAAAAAATAAAAAAATTGTTACAATTTTTATTTCTATTGTTACTTCGTTGTTACCTTTCAATTTGCGCGAGACTCTCCCAGAAAAGGAACATGTTTTACCCAGCACGTTTTCCACGAGCTTCTTCCATCTGATTCTTACGACACGTGTTGAATTTTGTGGAAATAAAGACGCACACGAAGGACCCCGTTGCGTGTAGTGAGGTCAGCACGCATTAACTGTGGCAAATCCCGCCGGGACGACTAATTTGCGCAAATTGCACTGCGGGATTATTAAAGACGACTGTTTGTCGGCTAGGATCCGTTGTAGGTAAAAAAAATATCAGACTCCTTTTATGTACGTAAATCTATAAATTCTGCTCTTGTGACGTAAATCTATAAATTCTGCTCGGCAAGGAATCGAGGCAATTATTGTAATTTCCTGGACACGTGTAAACGTATCTTCGTCTCATACAACCGTATATACTGTCCCATGTCTAACAAAACGTGTGTCATTTATAGTTTTTCAAACAATATGCAATTAATTTTCTTTTTCTTAGGAAAAATACCGAGAATAGCCATTGTTTGTCAGAAATTTTCATAAACTTTTATCCTATAAGCTAAAACTTGTTAATCGTTACTTGAAATTAAACGAGAAATAAGGTTTGCTGCAACAAAAATTTGCTTACTTTATGATTTTATAAATCCAAGTATCTCATTTAAGACGATAATCGTTTCGCTACTCTAATATTTCGAAATGTCATTGCAGGCGCCTTTCCAAATCGAATTCGTCGAAGTTTCGAAACGGTTCTACTCAAGCAACGACTGCGAGTAGTTGCATAACAAATTCCCTTCAATTACGTCTTTTAATTAAGGCGCAGTCTGGGGATGTCGGGCGGTGTACGAGTAGCCATAATCGCTCCATTTAGGCTTGAATGCACGCGGAATTCAATATAATAATCATGCGAAAAATCGCGCTACTTCTTTTCACTCCGGCTGACATAATCAATCTTAATCTCGCTCAGTGATTGATCAAAATCATGAGTCGCGGTGTAGCATATTTTAATGTCTCAGATATATTTTTTGCGTATTACAATACTTTCATAATTAAGAAACTTTAATATTTTATTCTGTGGTTCTAAGATTTTTAAAATACCGTGTTTAAATTATCTTGTAAAATACCGTTAACTCGTAATAACAGAATTGCAAATAACGGAAAAGAGTACACAATGTAAAATATAACTCGAGACATTTTTTGAAATTTATTGGAGCATTGCAGAGAATAAGAAGATAAATCTGTTCCGTCTTTATGTTGTTTAATGGCTTGTGGTTAATTCCTTCGATTATTTATATTGTATTATTACTACCACGACTGCAATTTGTTTCGTTCAATTTCCTTTGAAATAATAATTTACGTGACGCCGGAAACCGCAACGTGTATGGCTTCACGCAAATGCACGTTGCCATTACGTCCCGCATATAAAAGTGTAACATTAATCCGACATAAAATTCCGATATACAAACCAACGTTATAATTATGTAGAAATATAAAACTTACTTGCCATGAATTTGTCAGCGTTTGATTTTTCTCGATCAACATTGCGAATAATTTGTCCAGGCTGCGTTCCACGCGAGCGCGGAGCATTACACCTTTTTCAGATGACAAATTGACTAATGCAAGTGCGAAATATTGCAGATAAATACTAATATATAGCAATCATTGATCAAAAAAACTCGCAGAAAAAGCGCTAGAAATACAATTGTCAATCGTCCATGTGGTATATTTTGCGTACGTCGAATACACTTTCCGCGTGTTACGATACTTTGCAGAAAAAGCGCGACGCGTTGCGCAAGGCGCATTAATAATAGACTAAGTAATGAGAGATCGGGATGCTTTCAGATCGGCTCCGGCCGAGCGACGATCTTGTGCAATCGACAGAGAAAGGAGGAAACCGTATCGAAGGAGCGATCGATGCAGGACCGATTGCCCGGCGGCTCCTTCGACACTCCGAGGCGCCTAATCGCTGTGAAACTGTCATATCATTTGCGAATGGTTTTCTGATAGAGAAAACGATATAATTGCCCGGCCGCGCCAGAACCGCGGCTCAGTCTTTGTCGTAGACCCGACGAATCATGAAAACCTGCCGGAAGTCGGTGGCCACGGTGCTACTGTTGTTAATTCATTTGGTAATGTCTTGATAATGGTTTTTAAAATGCGTTTTTCACCGTAAAAACGCCGGTATCAGTATGAAAAATAAAACGGTCGACCGGTATGAATTTAATTAATTTTTCTCATGTGTTGTGGCGTTTTGGAATAATGTATGCTCTTTCGTGCATAGCGATATAAATAATTTGCAATAAACGTGTAAATATGGGGGCCGTCGGCTGTAAAGGCCAGACTGACGCGCGTGTTTATGTCAACTTTTAATTAAAGCGCCGGAACGAGAGAGAATGAGGTTTCGAAAATTGTGCAGTGCCGAATATTGTGAAATATTACATGCGTTTTCACCCAAGCCGACATTAATCTAATTAATATGCGTGACATATTCGGTAACAATATATTTTATCGCATTCATGAATAATTACCACTCTCGCTACCATGAATAAGTACATAAGATAATGAAAAATGCGCGATCGAATTATCACGTCCCGAACAAATGATGTCCCGCGGTTGGTAAAACGATGCTTGCGTTGTTGATTTACATATTTATGATAATAAGCCTCCATAATTGGCGTGTTTGCAGTTAACGTTACAAATCGATGACGCAGTCGCAGGGCGCAACGCCTCGGATGTGAAAAGGGATCCCAGAGTTATCCTGGAGGAGGTGATCATTACCGGAAGTGGAAACAATACTCGCGTAACAGCGAACGCAGTGGCGGAAGAGCCTTCGAAGATCGGCGACGAGATAATCTCGCTGCTGTCCAAGCGCAATGCACGTAGACGACGTTTGAAGCAGACGTCGTCGGATCAGGATGCAGATCAATCGCACGCCGTGGCCGTTAACGCGGAGAACGACGAGGATTTGGAGAGGCTGAAACGCGTGATCGCGAAGTACGAGCCGCAGCGGATCACGTCGAGGAAAACCAAGCGGAAAATCGTCGATGGCACTCACGGTAAATAAAGCGAGATTACTTTTCCCCCAATGCAGCGGAAACACGACAACGTTCGCGTGTCGTATATCGAAGAGAAAATCAGTTTTCTATATTTTCTATATATTTGTTCTGCAGATATACACGATAAAACCATAAGGTCAAATACGGATCTCGAGAAGATTTATCACGAAGTCCTGAGAAACATATCGCGCACAGCGCCCGAATTGATGGTATCTAATGCCAACGTGACATTCATCCCTTCTTATTTGTCTCAAGTAATAAAAAATTTGGGGCAGATCCACACTCCCGGAGCGACGATTCATCCTGCGAGTGACGTCGGTGCGACGAAAACGTCACGTTTCGATATTGATACATCGCCCACTGCAAAAAATAAGAAGAAGAGTATATTTAAAAAGTATTTACAGCTGAATCGCACCACAGCGAGTCCTCGAATTTCGTCGATCGAAGAAGTCGACAAAGAAACCGCTGACAGTAACGAATCGGGCACGGCGAAGGGTTATTTCAAAGCACCCGGTGCGAGAGCGAAGAATGAATCGTCAGAATCATTATTGAGTACCGCAGAAAAGCCCGAAAGCCCACGCAAATGGAACGCTCAAGAATCTCCGGCTCGTATCGCACCTGCGTTTGATACGCAGTTGAACAACAGCAACGCCTACAATATTTTTAACGCGAAAAATTCGATTGTCCCGAGCGACGTAAACAGTCTTCATTTACTGTCCAAGTATAACGTAGCGCCGAGACCATTTTCCATATTGCAATCGCCCGGCGCACCTGTCGCAACAAATTTGAATATTTTGTACAGAAAGCCGAGTGTCCCGCCGACTGGTTTCAATCACCGACAGCTCGTTCGCTCTTCCGCGAACATTCTTCCGCTGGTTCTTCCAACGGAGCTCTTCAGCCCGCCTCCGGCACGTTACTACATTCCGATAAAGCGCACAAATCATATAAATGTGGATGAAAGTCCAGCAACGATCGTCAGCACCGAGGCGAATCCGCCGGCGAATGTCGCAAAGGGAAGAACTGTCTTTGACAAGCCGAGTGCAGATTACAGTGCATCTTATGCAGATGTAATTGGCACTACAAAGAGTTCCCTGATCGCTGCTAACAACCCTCGCAGTTCCGGCTCGTCGGATTATTACGCCGTTACGGAGAATCCCGCGGAAACGGCTTACGTTCCCAGTCAAGCGTCCCCCTCGTACACTCTTCAGCGACAAAAGAATCCGCAAACCGTGAACAAAAATGAGTTTCTACCAAAGATCGCTACGTATGACAATCTTGAAAAATCAGATTTAAACGCGAACCTCGAGCTTGCGCTGTACAACAAATTCGCACGTTTGTATTCGGTCGATCGGCCAAACGTATTTAATGTGCCGAAAGTAATTGTGCAAGATTACCAAGACAAGCAACCGGTAACTTCGCAACAAGTTTCTACCTTACCTTACTCAACTCTGAAACCCATTTCGCCCACGTTACTGAAAGTCCAACCCGCTAAACCTGCAGTTGCGCCGTATTACGAAAGCAGATTATTCGCTTCGCAAGATGGAAAAGAACTCAATGACAAGGACAACGGAGAAAGCGTGGAGACGAATGAGCGATCTCGCGTAAAAAACGCGGACGAAGCTGAAGGAGAAGCGGATGATGATAAAGATAACTTTACAAATTATAAAACTCGGATCGATCATGGAGCTTCGAAGATTCGCAAGACGCCAGATGAGCAACGCGAGAAGGAAGATCGCGAAGAAACAGAGAAGGAAGATTATCATACACGCGATTACGAACATCAGGATAAATATTCTAAGAATAACAAAAATGATAAAAATAATGACGCACGTGAAAAATATGAAAATATCCGACATGAGAATAACAAGGATGAAGAAGATGTTGACGAAACGCATGAAGATGAACACGTGAGCGCCGGAGAAGACGAACATGATCAAGATTATCGTCATCCATACGACAAATATGAACACGATCGAGATGATTCTGAAGAGCAACAAGACAACAAGAGTGAAAAGAAAGATAACAAGAGTGACGAGCAGCGCTACGAGAAACGTGGCAAAGAAAATGATAATCGCGATAAGCACGATTACGAAGCTGATTTCAAGTACGGACTTGAAAGTAGCAATAAATATTCCGATTCGCGATACAACGATGACAAAACTCGCGAGGATGTAGGCAAGTTCTACGGTAACAAAGAATCAGATGACGACCGGCCCAAGAAAAATCGGCAAGATCGCAAGCACGAAGATTCCGAAGAAGAGAACGTTGCCGAAGACAAATTGTACACTCAGCGCTCCGATGAACGCGTTTACAGACAACGCGAAAGAAACGAAAAGAAACACAATAAGAGCGGTGACACAACACACAAGCGCAAATATCGGCCTCAAACTATTCCACGAAAAGACTCACGTCCTGAAGAGTACAAGCGTGAGGAATACAGCGAAATTAATCCCAGGCACGTTCGCAAGGAATATCATAATCAACAGCAACAGCAGCACGTCAAGAATAATAATAATAATAATCAACGCGGTCATCGGAAATATGATAGTGGAAACCAGGATATTGATAATGAGAAACTGCGTGATCACGTACACGGCGAGACTAAAGAACACGCGCACAAACATGAAGAACATCATGAAAAGAAGAAAGACGGGGGAAATCACAAATTCGAGAAAGGCGAAGGCGCGGAACACGAAGAGGAACATCACGGACAAGAGGGCGAGGAGGGAAAGAAGGTAGAATTTGTGATTATTTAATTTATTCGTTATTTGACAACGAATCGAGGCACTTTGGTGAAATAATTTTAAAAACTATTAATGTGTAACGTTCAAAACGCGAAGTTTCTTAAATTTTTGAATTAACTTTTTAAAGGGATACAAAGTCTGGCACGAGAATGAAAAAGCCGAGAAAGGACACCACGATAAGGAACATGCCAGCAAAGAGTACGATGAGAAAAACGGCGAGAAGAAGAATCACGAAGAAGAAGGTGGATATCACGAGCAGCAGCATCACGGCGAAGAGGGCAAGAAGACAGCAGAATTCGGCGAAAAGGGTGAACACAAGAAAGGACACAGTACGCACGGCGAGCATTCGGTGCACAAAAAGGTAAATTGAAAAGAGTTAAATAAATAAAATACCAAAATAACGCATATAATAACAACTTAGATGGCCAAATGTCAATAATATTTCACTGATCGCAGGACGAATATGAGAAGAAGACGGAGTTCTTCGACGAATTCCACGAGGACGATGGCACGGAGAAGCACGGCGAGCATCATCACGAGCACGAGTCGAAGAAGGGCGGTCACGAGAAGAAGGCTCACCACGACGCCGCGGATCACGAGGCGAAGTACGGCAAGGAGGATAAGCACGAGAAAGGCGGCCATCATCACGAGCATAAGGGCCATAAAGCTGACGAAGGTCACGATCACCATTACGATCATCATGAGAAGCACGGCAAGAAAGAAGGGCACGAGCATGGGAAAAAGTGGAGCTATAAAGAAGGCGACGGCGGCGGTGGCGCGGGTGACGATCACAAACACAATCGCTGAACTGAAAGACGCTAATTACAGGGAAGTTAATAGTTTTGCAATTATCGTAGTTATCACCTGCTCATGATCTTTGATGCGACTGTATCTTTTAGGATAGTTAAACCGTCGGAATTATCGATCACGTATAATCGAAATGTTGTGTACCATACTTCGCAGGGGCAGTGCATGTTTAATCGCCGTTGTCTATATCGATCACCTATACTGGGGACACGATATATTATACGTGACGGCTTAAGATACTCTGTTATCTAATTCTAGTTAAGCAAGGGTGAGAGGAGAGTGATTGAAATGTCGTAGCGAGCACTAACTCGAGCGGAAGTAACTGATTGACCTCCGCGAGTTGAGTTTCCTGAGAAACCGGGAAGATCGTACGAGCTGCCGTATTGATAAAGTTTCGTTTTTCCAATTCAATGGAAATGTGCCTGTATGTCGCTCGAGAGATAAAGCTTGAACGTTGCATTGGAAAAAATATTATATACGACAATAATTTAGTCTGTTTGTTATTGTATTTCTTGATATTACTTACATAAATACTTTCACATCAGTAAAACATAATTTATTAACAATTATGGCTCTCAATATTTCTGCTAAGAGAAATGAAACTTTTTACAGCTAATTTTGTAATTATTCCAGTTTATTTTGCAGATATCTTTGGACCATTATTGAAATCACATTTCGATGATGACATCCAATAAATGTCCTGTATTTACCATCAGTTATCTTCAATTGGAGCGGTACAATTAATTAAAAAATAATACTAGGCAATTGGAAGAGTGCCAATGATTAACTTCGCCTGCAATTTCTTTGTTACGTCTGTTAACTCCTCGTTCTTCTCTGGCTTGCGTTTACGCCGTAAACGTCAGGATGGCTGGGTTTTATGTCGCGTTAAAGGAATTAATATCCACATGGGGATACAACTGAGACGAGCTACGGAATAGCGCCATTTACGTCTCTTTAACGTTCCAACGAGAGGAGACGTGAAAAAACATCTCTCCGCGAGCGCCTCTGAAGATTCTCTGAAGCGGACATTTAACGAGAGTGATCGTAAGAATTAATTCTGCACGAGAGATGCACCGTTCTCAATATCCTTATCCTTTCCTCTCTCGTCCAACTGATAATACACTCTTCCGTCTTTCTTGTCTCCGAGCGTAAGTATCGATCGGTCGCGTGGCATTCAGCCGGGAATCGCAGGAAGAATTTCCGCGCGAGAAAGCCGCGGATGCAAACGACAGGCGATTTACGATCCACGCTTCATCAAGTCTGCTATCAGTCTCTTTCGCAGGCCGCGATGAAGGATCGCAATTGAAACGAGTTAATATCGGCGCACTGCTAATGACGGAGGGAATACCGAATGCTTGGCGTTGGCGATATCGACGTTGTGTTGTCCGCCGCTTAATCCACATGGGAATCGACCAGCAGCCTCGAGCCT